ATTATTCACATTACATCATGTTTCAAAACAACGGCACTAATTTGTCAAAATAACAGGATCAAAATGTCAAAAAGACAGTCCAATGTATTATGTAAAATAAATGGATGGACTGTCCTCAGCTGGACAACAGAGAATTGAAGCACCTGAAGGCAGTGGTGATGGAGACTGGAGCAGAACAACACGCAGGACTGAAATCAGCTGAGAGGAGTTCGGGTCGGACATTGAAGTTTGTGTGTGTGTGTGTGTGTGTGGGGGGGGGGGAGACGCTTGACAGAATCAGAACTGCTTTATTCACTGCTCTCTAAAACAGTAATTTCAATTCAAGCTTTATACAGGTTGTTAGTCTCATTGAGCCTCGAGGACTCATTTACAAGAGACCCGTTTAATCAAATGTTTACAAATGTTTAACAACCTGTTAAAATACACCAAAATGCAAGAAATGGCATCTTTTTTATTCCAAATTTTCAGGGGGAGGAACCATGGATCCCCCCACCACCACCACCACCACCACCACCACCACCACACACACACACACACACACACGCGCACCCCGCCGAACCGCCTGCCATTTGTGTTCCCGCAACAGTTGGTTTACAAATTAAGCCCTGCTCATGATCAACAACTGAGGCTGAGCTTTCAGGCACTGAGCAGTATGTGTCACTCCAGGATGGTCTCTCCACACTTCATTGTTATCTGCACACATTGGCCGATGCAGCCAATCTAAGCCCCCAGTCCATGGTTGTGTAGGTGCGGTGCTCTTTTCTTTAAAAGCTTCCTTTATTCCTTCTGTAAACTTAAAAATGACGTGACTGAAGCCTCTCGCCACGCTTCTAAACTTTGCATCTTGTCGAAATGTGTTTTGGTACATTCCTGTTTGTCTTCTTTGTGTTTTCAATTTCAATTCAGTTTATTTTTAAAGCGCCAAATCACAACAAAGTTGTCTCAGGGCACTTTACAGGAACATTCACATAAAAGCCAATTAGTAAAGTTCTCTATCTAAGGAATCCAGCAGACAAGTTGAATCTTGGCTTAGTTGCAGTCTCCCATCCTGAGTTTTGCCAACAGTGGAGACCTTCTGGGTCTTCTGCCATGGAGTCTGATTTGAGTAAAGATTTGGTATTAGAGGCAGCACAACAATGAAGCGGTCAGATCTGTCAGCTCAGTAAAAAGGCTGCAGGACTGCCTCCGGCCAGGAACCTGTCTGAGGGCTTTACATGTTCTCCCTGTTCCATGTTTCATCCGGGTCGTTCAGTATTGGACCAGATCTGTTCTTCTTTCCTGTTCAGACATCATGATTCATCTCCAAACAGAAGCCAAGCCAAAACATTTCATTCTTTAAAGACTGAACAATATGAAGCATCAGCTTCATCAAGTTACCATTGCTGGTGTGTTTGGGGCTGCTTGTGCTGTTACAGAGTTTCAGCAGACAAGTGTTGTCAGAGCTTTTGATGCTGCAATCCATCCCGATCACTGCAGACAGCTGGTCCTGATACTCCAGAGCTGCCTTCTCAAACCTGCACGCACACACACCCCTTAGCCAAGGACAATAATGGGAAATAAAGAAAAACATTTTGTTGGTAAATGAAGGGTGAGGAGCTTACCGTCCCTCAGCCTGCAGGGCGATGGAAGCCAGCCAGCCCAGGCTCTTTCCAGAGGTCAGGGGGCTCCAGGCTGCCAGCCCCTGGATGGCTTCAGGACAACGCAGCACACACAGAGCCTCAACCAGCAAAGCAAGAGGCACCTCCAGCTCTGGAGTCTAGTGAGCACAAAAACCTTGTTCTGTCTGAAAGAACACTTCCACCATTTACAGCAGCAGGTGGTTCATGACAAGACAAATACACATTTAGCTGCTATCTAACCTGCGTGCTGCTGTTTTTAAACTCTGTCAGCAGGTCGAAGCCATGACGGACAGTCACAGCAGGTTGGCCAGAAAGAAGACCGACCCTCATCAACGCCAAGCGAATCCTGGTCAACCAGTCCTGGCAGGTCTGACGATTTGTGTAGAAGAACGTCTTAATGCCCTGAGAGATGATACAATGGAGTTATTATCAAATAACATACATGGGCAGCCATGTTCAAATACTCAAAGTCTAGCTGAAATGGCTGAATGTTGGTTCCAGCATCTTAGTCATTTATTTTAAAAAGAATATAAAGTAGAAAGTATGTTCACAGTTTTCAGTCTGAAGACAAGCAGATTCTAATTGACACTAATAAAGATTAAATGTCTCGGTCTTCTCTTGTAAGACATTGAAGCCGATATGTGAATTTCTGGGGGAGCTGCCATGTTGTATTTTTGGAGCTAAAGACTGGGGACATAGGGGTGAAGACCCGCCTGTTCCCAGTTCTACCAGGTGTTGGCTGTCAAAGTTCAAGGTTCTTCATTTGTCTCCCTTTGGAGGAACTGTGCTCGGTTTTAAAGGTCCCTGCTGCACAGCCTACACAAAACATTCAAGTCAATAAAACCACAAGGAACAAATTAAAGCTGCGAGCAGCATTGAAGGCCCTCGCAGCAAAGCGCTGCCCCGGCCATACTGCGACCGTGGGAGCTCCAGCCACTCCACCCGGTAACCATCGCGAATGCTCTCCTGCCAATCTTGCACACGGTCACAATGAGGCACATTTCCTGAATCTTTGACATAGCCTTCTGTCCATGTCAGTACTAGTCCAGATAAGGGTCTTACAAGTATACATGAAATCTGACCTTCCAGACAGGAGTTATTGTGACTTCCTGTTTTGTTGCGAATGTTTGACGAGCACTTCCTTTATGTTTTTCAACATGTCGTGTGGTAATCAACAGTTACATTTTCAGTCATATCTTACACAGGGCTAAGCCGGAAGAGTCGCCCAATAATCAACAGTTTCTTCTCTGAGCGGGTGGAGCTTAAGTGATATCATGAATCAACAATACCAATGTGTCTAGAAGTGCTCACTGATCACGCACAAAAAATCTGGTACATATTGGATGATATTTCACTGAGATATAACTGGTGGAATAATGTAGGGGGCGCACTGGAGTCAAAAGTTAAACAACA